CACGGCTCCTACCTCTTGCCTTAAGCCTTCTTTTGTTCGCAGTTCCTCTTTTGTTTTTTTTTTTATCCGGCATCTCTATCTTTCTGTCGCTCGGCTCGGCTAATGTCTGTCCTGTGCACTGAACGCGCTCTCCTCCACGTCACGAGTAGACACGCCCCTTACTGCTGATTGGCTACAAGTTTCTTTTGCCATTCGGCCCGAATCAGTTTTCTAAAGTGTTTTTGAAAAATCACATACCCTGCCTTTAAACCCCTAATAGTTACTTTCTCATTTCTCATAGCCCAAGTCTATTTTAAAAGTCTGCTATATTCAAAAACGTACATTTAAAATTCAAAAAAGTCATAAATCAGTATTACGTACATTGGCGTCATACCTCTGCAGTTCTGAAGGGGCTGTACTGAAGCAGGTTGATTGCTATAATAATGTCACAAGAGCTTTGTGGAAGTCCTGCCCATTTCTCCCAGGGTTGACTGGCATCCAGATACACCGGCTCCAGCACTGTTTTTGCCTTAGTGGCCCCTATATAAGCTCTGATACTGCAGCAGAGACGCCCCATTACAAACCCTGATAATAATGACATTTGTAATTACACGGTAACAAAGAAAACAACCTGTGTGTACTGTACCTGTTCTGTGCTTCCTCCCTGATGTCTGAAGGCTGCCACGTGACAAAGGGCATTTCTTGAGCGAAGTGCACCACATGCTGCCCTGTGCCTGATCCCAACTCAAGACCAAATAGCTCACGGTGAGACTGATCCTCCAGTAGCTCCCAGAGCACCGACAGCAAACCGTCCTGACTGCGCTCAGCTGCAGGAGAGAGCAGCATGATCTGCAGAAGAACGGAACATTTAGTGGACTCTTGCTAAATGCTGAACATATTTATTTCTGTAAGCCAGGACCATGCATGCTATAAATGTTGCTGATACTTGCGCTGCGCTGTTGTTGCTCAGTGATGGCTGAAGGAGCAGCAGATGGATCAGGAGATTACCTGGATAAGAGGCTTCTGTCTGCTCCTCCCCTTCAAGTTCTGCACAACCAAAGAACTCAATACAACTTTATTAAAGAACCAAAGAGAGCATGCAAATTACCTTTATACCTTGGACATTTTGTGAATTAGGATACTATTTTATTTTATACAGCACTCTGAAATGTCTGGTTCTGGTTAAACCTTTTGTTTCATTTGGCCATAAAGCACATCATGAGCTATAGCCACACAAGTGAACTAAACTGTATAAGAATATCAGGAAATTACATTATTCATGGGAATCTTCTGTGGGTTAATCAGTTTTCTGAGGGTTAATTTATCTCAAATGGTCCAACGTTGGTTGCTCGACCATTTAAGTGTGTATTCATTTATTTATTTCACTTGCTGAGTGGTTACCTCTGTGTAATATTATTATTACATAACTACTGTTGTATTTCGTTTTAATTATTAATTTTATTTGGTTTGGTTTAAGCACAGTGGCCATTTAAGTGCCTTTTTATAATAGGAAGGATTTGAGAGAGTAATTTATAATCCTGATTTTTTTTACGGAGCACCCAAGTATTGTATGCATGCAGAACATTTTATTTTATTGTATAGGGACCTGTAATTTTCACAGATAGCCCTATATGGCAAGAAG